TAATTTGGGTTAAGGCAGCAGCAGGCATCCAGCGTCCATGAGCTGCCTCTCCCAGCTCCTGGGTCTGAGTTGCACCCCATCTGCCCAACACTGGGGACAGGAGTGGAGTGGCCCTTCTAGGGAGCCATAGCCACTCCCTGCAGCTGGGTGGGGTATGAGTAAACGAGTGAAACACCATGGAAACCAGGAGGAGATGATAGCCTGGAACCTAAGAATCTCCTGGGAGCAGGAAATGGAATCAGGGCACTTGGCAACTTGCTGTGGAAAGATGCGTTCTTATCAACTGTCCTGATATCTGAACTCCCTCACATCTGGGGTTCCACTGCAGACCAAGAACAGGCGGTTTCAGCCCTTCCAAGCCTCCCACCCCACGGTCTGTAGCCCAGGACTGGTGTGGTCCATGCAGCTAGGCCCAGGCTGGTGGGTGAGGCCTTAAAATTTGCATGCAAGCGATCCAGGGGCCAAGTGCAACTTCAGCTGGACTTACAAAGGTTCATGGACAAGAAGCCCCTTCTCCTGGAAATGTAGAGACTGTGGCAATGGAAAGGCCAGTGATGGGACCCAGGTGTCTCAGCCCAGCTGTGCCACCCGTTCCTGTGTGAAGCTCAGGGAGTAAGGTGCTGGCTTCAGGCCCCTTGTGACTTCGTCTTTCCCCAGCAGTTTGTCCTGCTTGAACGTGACTTTGTGTGGCAAAGAGGTAAAGGAGCTAGAGAGGGCTCTGGAAATCAATGTGGCACATGATTCCCAGGTATTCATGGGCATCTCCAAAGCCCTTACCCTGCCCCCTTCCAAGAGGCCTCCACCAGGTAGAGTTGGTTAGAGAGCTGCGTCCCTGCACCCCCTACCCCCTGCTCAAACCCCCTTGCTCTGGACTCTCCAGCACCCTCTCTCCTCTGCAGCAGTGGCCAGGGCAGTTGGGTCTTGCTGCCTCTCTGGACTGCAGCTCCTGACCGCCCCTGCTTGTCTTGCACTGCACCTGTTTCATTTCTCAGCATTTTAAAGTAACCCTCATACCCTCTTCACCCGTGGCCATAGATTGTGTGGCTTACTAGTCCTTTGAGGGGTGTGTCCAGCAGCCAGCTGCTCCATGGGACTGGTGGGGGGTGGGGGGTGCGGTTCATCACATTGGGCTCACAAGGGGACCAGGCATTCCCTTTCCCCTTGCCCTCTGCCGCTCCCTCCCCTCCACCACCCAACCCCTCTGAAGGTTCAGGGGCAGGCATACCTTTCTCCAGCTGCCTAGCACAATGCTGTCCCTTCTGAGTGAAGCAATCAAAAAGCATCCCTTTCCCTAGGCTTATGCTATAGCATGACTTGGCGAGTGAAGCTAGGGCTGGATTCCAGCCTGCCTCCCAGCACCCCCTTAGCTGGGCACCCCAGACAGGCAGGGCCGGTAGGGCTGTGCCTCCACAGTGACCCTGGGTGGCCTAGACCAGGGAATTCAAATGCGTTATTTTATCCTCCCCATTTGGCCCTAGATGCCATATCTATGCTCCAGTGGCTTCCTCTGTCAGGCAGGGACTGTCGTTTATATTTTCCTGCTAAGTCAGTAAAGTTCATGGGAGGTAATAGTAATAATTGTTTCCATTTATTGAGCTCCTTCAGGTGTTTACTGTATCATCTTATGTTCCTCCAGAACCCCCCTGGTGGGGGGCAGGAAGACCCCCTTCGAAGGCAAGCACCATTCAGTGGCTGGCTGAGGCCGCACGGTCTGTCTGTTGCTCTGGAGCCCCCCTTTCCCTTTCCTGCACTCTCCCAGGGCCCCTGCCTCTGGGCTCCCTCAGGGCCGCTGCTGAAACCTGTCCCTCCTGCCCTGGGCCCTCTCCTGCCTCTTGGCTGCAGGCTCCTCCCAGAAAAATCTCTCCCCCTCTGGCTTTCCTCGAAAACCGCTTCTGCCACTCTCTCCAACACAGAAAAGGAAGGAGAGGGGAGAGTAATCTATTCCATTTGTGTCTTATTTTTATTTTTGCAAATAAAAATGGAAGTTGGTTTCATGGGAGAAGGCAGCTGCCTTAGGAAAAATTGAGACCTGACTTAGAATCTCATAAAACAGTATGTAGGTTTCACCAGGCACTTTCAGAGATGCCTCAAGAGGTGCCAGTTTCCTTTTTCTTAAGCCAGGGTTTAAAAAACACTAATTTATAGTGAGTGGTTCTGGCAGGAAGGGCTACCAGCCTCCCGACTGGACCCACTGAGTTTTCTTCTTGGTCATTGTTCATGAGCAGCTCCTGTTCAGGGGGTCCCTCACAAAAGGACCCCCAAGAACTCTGGGGTTCCGAGGGGATGAAGGGCCAGTTGGCGGGAAGGGGGCCTCAGTACCACCAGCACCCTGAGGAGGGCTGCCTCAGGGTCAGGTTTATGTAGACAAGCTTTTGTTTGTTTGGTTTTTCAAGGGGCACATGAACTCTTGATGGTTTTGTGAGATGGTATACCAGCAAGCACCACCCTCAACAGGCTTGGTTCAAACAATCCTTGGTCTGAACCAAGAGTTCTCAGACTTTCCGGAATATCTATTTCAAATTGGTCCCTTATGAGGACAGGGCTCTCTGAGCGAGCGCTCCCGCATTCTGCATTGGGTTCCTCTGGCAGGAAGAGGAACTTCCATCATCTTCATCACCTATCATTTTCTTTTATTGTAGCTTTTTACCTCCATTCTGCCTTGTAGCTGCACTACTGGAAGCCTCCTTTTTAGGCTGGTTTAACAGTATGTGTCTCTGGATTCATCGTCTGGATGTTTCCTCCCTTCCCTGGCCCTCAGTGCTCTCCTAATAGGCTCTGCTGTGCCCTGGCCAGCACTGTCCTTAACCAAGCGGCCCCACTGCCCTTGGGATGTGCACTCTGGCCGCCTCTGCGAGAGGTGAGCCCCTGGGATGCTCCCTTCCACAGACCCTTCTCTGAAGGACTTCCTCCGTAGCTGGACATAACACAACTAACAGGTAAGGAAACTTCCTGGCTCAAACGTGCATGCTCTCCAGCCTCCACCTCCTCTGCCTTGGCAGACTGCAGGGTCGGGGCTGGGAGGCCTGAGGCTCCAGGTTCCAAGGAGTTGTGGAGACAGCCCGGGCTAGGAGGGAGAGGGCTGGCCTGGAGCACTGAACAGGAAATGCCTAAGAAAGAGATAAAGAATTCAGCAGCAGGGGCAGTAAACAGTTTTACTTGCTATTGGGGAAAGGAAGGGGACAGGATGGAGCAACAGCAGGAGGAAAGGACCCCGAAGCCCCCTATTCCCACGTCAGCAAAACAGGGTCTGTGGTATGAAGTGATTTTTGTGTAGGGTAGAGGATCACCCAAAATGGGCCTGCTGGGTGAGGATGACAAACTACGGTAGCGTGATTCTTGATCAAAACCAAAAACACCCCCTTCCCTACAGTGAGGAAAAGGAACAGCTTTGGTGTGGGTTTCCTGCTTTAACATAGGAAAAGAAGGGGAAGTAGTGGCTTATACTAAGAGTCACTGGGCTGGCCCAAGCTCAGGCCCCAAGGGCAGGTTCCCTTGGGGAGGGGACAGACCCTTCCTAAGCAGGGCACACAGCGGGCCCACTGCTTCGGGACAGAGCAGCGGCTGCCCTGCTTCCTCCCAAGGGGGGCGCCACCAGCCTGTGCTTGGTCTGTTCCCACGTCTCACCTGACTTAACAGTCGAGGCTGATTAAGAGAGAGGAGCCGTGGGACCCCCGGGACAGTCTTGGGAAACCAGTTTGGCAGAGTGAGACGAGTCTGTCCCCAGGGGCATGTGCTGGGCAGGGCCTCCCCGCAGACATCTGTGCATGGGGAGCTGGAGTGACTCTGGGGCAAGCTTGACAGGGAGTGAAGCTTGCCAGGAGCTGAAGCTGCCTTCGGAGTGGGGTTGGGCTGCAAGGGCAGAGCCTCAGGGTCTTCTACAAGAGGGCTGAGGGGCCCCCTTCTCTCCACACAGGCTCAGACCTCCTTGACTCCCCGCTCAGCCCAAGGCTGGGGCGTGTCCGAGGTGCACACATCACTGAGGGGCTCTGGCAGGGAGCACCCCCTCCACCCAGCCTGTCTCAGCCTCCTCTCGCCTCAGAAAGCTCATGGTATGGACAAACAAAAGGAAACCTCTGGACAAAAATCTTTCAGCCTCAGCAACTCCCCCAACTTAAATTAAAACCAATAAAACTCCTCACTTAACAAATCCCCAGGCCAAAATAGAGTGTAAAATTTAAGATAAATATTCTTAAAACAATGAACAACTTAAGTCTAACAAGTACAAGACAAAACCAAACAAACTGCCCCACACTGAAGAATGTTAGCTTAATTTGAAGACACAGGAAGGACACAGGGTGTCCTCCCCATGTCTGCACTGGGGGCCTGTGTCATCCATCGGCTGTCCCCTGCAGCCTGGCAGGAGACTCACGGCAGATCAATGCAGGGAGTCCTGTGGGCAGTTTCTAGATGTCAGTGGCCCTGCTTCTTAGAAGCTTTCCACCCACCAGGTGCTCACCAGGGAGCTGGGTGGGCTGTCAGAGAGCTGCAGGTGACAGAGAGGCTGCACGTGACAGAGAGGCTGCAGGTAACGGAGAGGCTTGGAATGCTTTGTGCTTTCTTCCCAAATCTGCCTCATACACAGTAGGTGCCCCTTAAATATTGGTTGATTTAGTCGAAGAAATCACATTCATCAAAATCATTGTTTTAAACTGAATCCAGCTAAGGAAATTCGTTAGCAAAATATTTAGGACTCAATTCAGCTAAATCTATGGCTCTGGTGGAGGCGAGCATGTGTCTGCTGTCCCCCCAGCAGCTCCTTGAATCTACCCCGTGTGACTCTGATTCTCTCTGGCTCCCCTCACTACAGCTGCACCTCATCGCCTCAGCTCCTCATCGCCCTTTCTCTGGGCTGATGTCAGAAGCTTCCAGTTTGTGTGTGAAATCTGAAGTGGGCAGATGAATTGCTAATGCAGGGCTAGGGGTGACAAGTGAAACATGTGTCTAAACACACACACACACACGCATGTATATAGAAACAAAAAGATACTTTAATTCTCTTATTACATGGCCACAGGCTTCCTTCAGTCCAGTGAACCCCAGTGGGCACTTCTCTCTTGCGGATACAAAGTGATGGCGTGGTGACGCACAAGTGGTCCCAGCAAGTCAGTACAAGTCACAATTAAAGTTCTGCAATAATAATAACCTGCATATGTAGTGATGAGTCACTGCCTCTTCAGTGGACGCCACCTCAGCTCAAGATGCAGTTGGTCCTAGCTGTCAAAAGCCTCAAAACACTAACCACGTGTCTTGCCCTTATTCTCAATTTTTATAAAACTTTTTAATATATATAGAGCACAACAAATGTGCTCAGTATGCACTCTAACGTAGAGCACAGGAATACACACACAGCACGGAGTGCAACCCCAGCGGTCTCCACAGTGGGAAAGTGCGAAGGTTGAGTATACGCACACAGTGTGAGGGCAGGAAGGTACAGAGCGCCACGTGCCACGCCTTCTTGTGAGACCCATCCAACACCGAGAACTTTCATCCCGTGGGTAGAAGAAGTAACAGAAACAATGTCATATTCTAAGGGCAGGGGATGTCAGATAATCCGGGACAGAGAGAGTGATCGTTATCTGCGGATTATCTAGAAATGACCGCCGAAGGTCAGCCTGGCTCCAGACCCCAGGCGGAGGTCAGGTCTGAGAGGGTGCGCTGGCTCTGGGGTCGAGAGCTGCCGTGGCACCTCAGACGCATGCACTGCCACACTCGCTCAGCCACATGTCCCCAGGGGAAGTGCACTTCAACAGCTGATACAAAAATGGATTGGCACGCTCTTTTGACACGGTGAGGGCATCTTTTAAAAGCTTCCCCCAACTTCGAAAATTGTCTTCCTCTTTATGCTCTGGAATGTCATACTCTGAGTTGGAGTTGGTCTGGAGAGAAGGTGGCAGACTGCGTTTGCAAGGTTTGTGTGTGCTCGGGAGGAAGGCTGGGGTGCAGACGGCTAGGAACTTGCCAGTGGAGAGCCAGAGGGCCTCTGTGTCTTCAGCACGGGTCTCTCCCCTCCCCTGGCCGAGCAGTAAACAGCTCACAGATCACCTCTGCAAGCCAGACTGAAGACTCCCCGAAAAGTTTCTGGTGCCGTTTCTACACAAAAACATAGTGTGAGGAAAAGAGTTTGGTCTGTTCAGTTCTATTTTTGCATTTCTCGTAGTGAGTGCAGCTCCACCGAGCTCAGAGGAAGCGGGCCCCGGCCCTCCTCGGGGGCCTGTGCTAGGAACTCTGGACCAGCCGTCTGTAATGGGGCATGACTTCGTGCTCTGGCAAATGAAGGGCAAATTCCAAGGCCACTAACACTGGGAATTCAAAGGCAATCAGTTCTCGTCTATTCAGCCGGAACTTCTCTTCCAGTTTCTGTAACAGAATTAAAGAAAACCAATAGTATTTTAGCTTTAAAATCAAAATCCTAAGCTTTCTCCATATACAGTGTCTCTACCCAACAGCCAGTGAGTGTTTACAGAGAAACCAATTGTGGACAACACTGTGGAGGCACCAGCTATGCTTCCGGCCCTCGGCCCTGGCGGAGAAGGAGTCGAACCTTTCCAAGGATGCACCGTCTACAGGGGTCTCACACATCCCATGACTTCACGGAATTTTTCCACAATCTTACAAGGCTGATGTTACATTTATCACCATGCATAGATGAGAAAACAGGCTCGTGAGGTTAAGCGACCTGTCCACAACGGCATGGGCAGCAAAGGAGAGCACCGAGACTCACACTTAGCTGGGCTCTAACTCTACCGTTACAACCAGGCTCTTCAAGCTTGTCACCAAAACCACAGCAAATCACTTCCGACAGCAGCAGCCTCAGGGAAAGTGTGGAATTGCGTGAGCATATTACACACAGCTTGGTCTTTTGTTTGGTACATGAGGACCCTGCCTGGTGAGGTCACTTCACTTTTGGAGTGTCACACAGCTTGAGCGTACCTGCGTGAGCTGAGCGCCCAGCGTTTGGCTCTGTGCCTGGGGGCTCCCCTCCCACACAGCCCTCAGTGCCCCCAGCTGTAGGGGCGGCTGGGCTAGGGAGGGAGGAGAATGATCAGGGTGAGAGTGGGTAGGAAGGCCTCAGTTTTGCTGTGCTACATTCTGCTTTGGCTTAAACTCAGCAGTTTAGTAACAAAAGAACAACCTCACTAAAAGAGTCTGGTGACTGCATCCAGATTATACCTGGGATAGGATCTTGTGTTAATTGCTACAGCAAGTAGCTTGTCAAAACATTATCGTTATATGAGGCCTGTCCAGAAAGTATCCAGCCACGTAACATGAAAAATAGAGACATTTATTGAAGGGGATACAAGATACAAGAAACACTGTACATAGGACAATGACACCTCAAAGTAGGCACCTAGAGACCTCACACAGTTCCATTGTCATCATCTGCCTCCTCGGATTTTCCTGAATCTCATCAATGGTCTGAAATCTCTTCTCTTTCAAAGGTGATTTTAGTTTTGGGAAAAGCCAGAAAGAAGTCACAGGGTGCCAAATGGGCTGTAAGGGGCTGAGTCCCCCGGGTAATTTTGGTAGTTTCACGAAAAAAACTCTACAAGAGACGTGATGCATGAGCAGATGTGTTGTCATGATGAAGCTGCCAATCACCAGTGGCCCATAGCTGCGGCCTTCTGAATCATTAATGCAGATTCGTTGCTCTACTAGCTCAGTCATTTTGAATGTGACAGCCACACAGCACACATGCTCACTCAACGGTGTGTACCGCCCCCACTGACTAGTACAGTGAAATCATTGTTCATACATGTGCATTCCAGTCCTCTCTTCTTGGCTGTCAGGTTACATCGATGTTGTGCAAACCATTCTTGCAATATAAACAATGGCTGGACTTTTTCTGGACAAACCTCATATTCTGCATCAATACTATCAGCCTTTGCTGGGTTGTATAATACTTGACTGTGATTAAATGTGTGTAATAAAACTTACAATTTTTGTGAATATTTGCTACTGCTAAAGATTCATCAGTTCAGCAAATATCTATGTAAAACTATTTGATTTTTGGCTTAGATTTGGTATCGAAAGGTCATTTCCATGTTCCTAAAAGTATTTACTGTACATGCTAGATGATCTGCACCATTTCTTAAAATCAGTAAAGTCTTGACCTAAAGAATCTTTTTCTTCCATTGCTGGATGAACGGATAAACAAAATGTGGTATATACATTCAGCAAAATATTATTCAGCCTTAAAAAGGAAGGAAATTCTGATAATACCACAACATGGATGGACATTCAGGACATCATGCTAAGCGAAAGAAACCAGACACAAAAAGGCCAATACTGTAGGATTCCAGTATGGGAGGCCAGTAGAAGTCAAAACCACAGAGACAGAAAGTGGAGCGGGGTTGCTAGGGGAGCCAGCGCTTCAGGGACAGAGTTTCCGTTTTGCGAAATCAAAGAGTTCTGGAGGTGGATGGTGGTGACGGCTGCACAGCGATATGAATATACTTAATGCCACTGGACCATACACTTAAAAATAATTAAAATGGCAAATTAACAAGAGAAAAAGAATGCTCTTTCTTATGTAGGGAGTACCTACAGTAGCTCCCTTTCTGCTTTTTCTCCTTTGCTACTGAAGACAGCTGCACAGCTAGACATATGGGGCATTGTAGTAACCACACATTTTATTTTCTGTATTCTGACACTTGGACATTTGGGGAGTGACCCTCCCAGGGTGAGCCAGTTACTGGAGGAAGTGAACAACTCCCCTGCCAGTACACTTTTCAAATGCAAACAAAACAACCATGAACCCACACCCCAGCCACCTACTTACTCTACAGGCCCTTACTTGCTGGGCCATTATCCACCCGCCCTGATCACCAGGGCCAGGGACCAGACCACTAATCGGCCCCTGTGCCCCAGGGCGCCCTGATATTATTCAGCTAGCCAGTCTTAAGCCTGCTTATCCTGCCTTGCCGATGGCTTCCTGCAGAAACCACAATAAGGCTCCTGCCCACGCTTCTCTCTCTGACCCCTGACCAACGCTGGTGCTTCCCTGTATGACCCCATGGCCTGGTGTGGCCCCTTGCTATGGACTGAATGCTTGTGTCCCCCCCTGCCCCATGCACATGCTGACACTCTAACTTCCAGTGTGATGATATTAGGGAGTGGGGCCTTTGGGAGGTGATTATGTGCAGAGGGGCTGACAGGCATGAAGTCCTCGTGATGTGACTACTAAGAAGAAACCAAAGTGTGCCCCTCCCTTTCTGCCACATGAGGACACAGGGAGGAGGAGGCCATCTGCAAGCCACTGTCCTCACCAGACACTAAAGTACCACTAGCTGGCACCTTGATCTTCGACTTGCAGCCTCCAGAACTGTGAGCAATAGATGTCTGTTGTTTAAGCTGCCCAGTGGATGGTGTTTTGCTGTGGCAGTGTGAGCTAAGACACTTATCATCTTGGGAGCTGAAACCAACTGTCTCTTCACTGGCAACTGTGTCCTAATCTGCTGGCTTCCCAGTAACTCAAACTTTCTATGAATGCACAGTATTTTGAAACAGGCATTCATATATTCGCCTACAGAGATCAGTGTTTCCTTACTTTGATGGGGCTGTTCTTGAAAAGAAAAGGGAAACCCACAGCCTCACGCCAAGAGAAGGCAGCCAAGGGCAGAGGAAGCCAAGGTCCGCTGAGCCAAAGTGTCTGCTGGACACCCTGCAGGTCCACCACCCACGTGACCCCTTGCCATCACGGTGGTTTCTGTGGCTGCGAGAATAACATGGGGCTGGACCGTGGGCAACCCCAGCCATCAGTACATGGGCCACTTACATCAATTAGATGTTTGACTTCATGCTTTTTGAGGTCACTTCCGATTTTGGCTGCTAATAGCACACATGCTCCAGCACAAAGCTTCCGGTTCTGTTTGTTTAGCTTTCCCTTGAGGGCAAGCTTCTCGAAGTAGACAAAGGCCATGGCCACCGTGGGCTCCTCCAGGCCACAGTCCTCCTGAGCAAGCTTCCGCATCTCTCGCTTCAGACTAGAGAAAGACAGGAAGGAGGGAACTGTTATTAGAACTTGGAGTTTCAGCGAACCCGAAGAAAAAGTCTGCTTCATCGAGCAAGCATTTCCGTTCTCATTCCCAGAAGGGTGATGTGGAATGGGACTGAATCCCTGCGAGTGAGACAGTTACATAATGTGTGAGGAACAGACTCAGGTCGCTGGGGCGTCAGACTCTTCTTGCCGGCGATGTTGTATAGACCCTGCTGACACGGGACACTGGGGACCACACTGAACCCTAGTGGGTGTCTGAGGGTCTCTTTGGAAACCTGGAGAGCTGTCCAAAATGAAAGAGGACAGCTATACAAGGAACTATGGTCATTCCAGAGAGACAAACATAGAAAAATAAGTTAGGTACGGGGTGTCAGCTCTGCCGAACATCGGTTATGTTCATTCTTTACATCGGGAGTAGTAAGGAGAAGGGTTAAGCTAAGAGCACGGCAACCAGATAGCTTAGGAAAGCTGCCCAGTGAGTGGACAAAGTGTGAATACTTCATTTTCTTATGGCTTTGACTTCTGAAACCAAACATGCCAGAATCAAATCAGTATTAAGATACATGTGCTCTTAAATGTTGGCACATATTCCAACATCATGTTGCTGTATACAGTCTAGCCCCTATTCACACACACACACACACACACACACACACACACACACACACACACACACACAGAAACTGTGCTGGCCTGGTATGCAGACACCACAAGCCAGGCTCTCTCTGGCCAAGCCAGGCCCGTCCTCGGGACCACTCGGCTAGCAGACATGAGTCACCGCAGTGTGGGTCCACTCCGCTGCAGGGGAGACATGGGCCTGATTGTGCTTTGGCTGGTTTGCCAATGCTCAAAGATAGGGCTTGGCTATCACTTCTGGGCAAGTGGATAAAGAGTTATCTCAAACCCTGTGATACCAACTCTTCTCTCTTGTTTTGTCTACATTTGAGAAAGCGGGGACCCACTGTTTGCTATTCTCTCCAAGTTTTCCATAACATAAATCTTACTGAACTGGTGGGCTGCAGATGGTGAGGGATGATTCTTTCACTGAAGACACCTCCCGCAGATCCCTGTCAGCCAGATCCAGGGATCTGCTTCTGCCCTGCTGCCGCTGGCTCTCACATGGAGGCACCGAACAGCCAGCATCTTGTGAGCCTCGTTTTGCTGAATGTGCCCATATTTCACTTGAACTATCATACAAATGCATGAGTTTAATGTGTACTGGGAGAGGGGAGTGAAGGGCAAGTTCAAGTGGATGTCGATCCCCACATACCTCCTTATTTTGCTGAGTGTTAACTTAATGTGAGGAAACTTCTCCTTGAAGGTCTCATTCATGTCTTTCTTGAGGTCTGAGGGCTTCACGTAGTCGATTACTGTGGTCTGTAACAGATCAGGCAACAGATCAGGTCACTCCTTACAATAAGGATCCCGGGCAATAATTATGGGCAATTTGTGGCCAACAGGCACCTTCCAATACCACCATGTAATGGGGAACCCAGGAGAGCTCCCCAACAGGGGTTCCGCTGAATCCTGCAGCCTGAACAAGGCCATGGCCTCTGGGGGTAGAGGGAAACCAAATCCCTGCTCTTAGCAGGGCCCAGTGACATTCAGAGACACTGGCCTCTCGACCTTCATGAGTCTGTGCCTGGCAGGGAGGGGAGCCCCCTGTTCAGCCTATCCTCCGCACTCAGTCTGACTCACACGGACCTGGGTGCAATCTGCACTTGACTAGCACTGGTTGTCGGCTGCAGGAGACGTATGTAATGACCCCAAAACTCAGGTTCCATATCCGCAAAGTGAAAACAGTAACATGCCTCCTTCGTGTGGCTATTTCAAGGACCACGTGAGAAGTTAAGTGCTCTGTGGAGTGCCTAGCACACAGCAAGTACTCAACAAATGTTAGCTTTTTTTTAATTGTGGGAAAATACATATCACATAAAACTTGCATTTTAACCACTTTTAAATGTCCAGTTCAGTGTCACTAAGCACACTCACATTGTGCTCCCATCACCGCCATCCGTGCCCAGAACTGCCGTCATCTCGCACAACTGAAACGCTGTACCAATTGAACAACTCCCATTCCCTCCCCGCAGGCCCCCCTGCACCCACCAATCTACTTTTTGCCCCCATAATTTTGACTATTCTGGGTACCTCAAACAAATGGAGTCGTACAGTACTTATCCCTTAGTGGACTGGCTTATTTCACTCAGCATAACATCCCCAAGGTTTATCCATCCATGTTACAGCGTATGTCAGAATTCCCCTTGAGACTGAGTAACATTTCATGGCATGTATATAATGTTAGCTGCTATTTATAGTCCTTTAACCCTGAGTTTCCTCTTTGTCCCCTGTCCCTTTCTAATTCTATCCATCCTCGGTGACTGGCTTCCCGGAGCCCTTTCTGAGTACTCTGGTCTTCCCTGCTCCTCTCTGCCCCACCCAGTTAACTCTGAATCAGACACAGTTGCTGGCTAGGGAGCACACCATTCAAGGGCTGAGGCTAAAGCAATGCCTCATCTGGCTGGCCTGTAGGCAATGATCTTCATTAGGCAACAACAAAGCAAGGAGAAACCGCAGATTCTGAGAGAAGGGCCGTTCCCATGGCGGCCAGCACTACTGGCCACTTCTCAGGCAAAGCCTGGCCTGCACTAGAAGGCGCATCGAAGGTTTCCTCAAGAAGTCAGGGGCTTTCTGCGCACACCCACATTCAGCAGACCCTTGGCTGGACACCATTTAGAAGAGGCACATGGAATGCCTCTGGCATCTGCTAATGACCAAGAACAGGCAAATAGTCTCCATGTCCAAATTCCCACTGATCTCAATAGCACCTTTTTTGCTTTTCTGGTGAATGAAGGCAAACAGCAGCATTGACTCAAATGATCCCACCGAAGTTGCTTAGAGCTCCCTGAATTCTGGGTAGAGGCGGATGTGGTGAGTGCGATGCCTAGAATTCTTCCTTGGAGCGGGCTCCTTCAGGCCCGCTCAGGAAGGCGCTCTCTGAGCTGGTCTGGGCTGTGAGGTGCTGGCACCTGACTGACAAGGAGCAGAGAGGGGGCAATGCGCCTGTGCAGCACCAGCGTGCAGACACCTACATGTGCATGCATGCATGAGTGCTGCTCTGCCGGGGGTGGGGGGAGGGGGCACATGGGATTTCACGGAGCCACTCACTGCCAAGGTCCAGCAGAGTGGATGCCTCTTCTGTCCTCCAAGGTGGGCCTATTGCTCTTCCCACTTTTCAAAACAGCTCTAGTTCATCTCAAGCAAATATCCTCCCCTGGTTGAACAGGATATAAGATTTTTCATGCAGGAAACAGGCAGCAGGATGGGGGAACCACATCTCACATGCTTACTTCAAGTTAGCCCATCACTCAGTCAGTCAATTCCTAAATACCCAGCACCTCTTCCACTTTCTCCTACCCCTGCCCACCTCCAGACACCCTGGACTCCCAGAGACGGCCACCTCCTGCACCCCCTGTTCCGATGGAGGTCATGAGGTTTGCAATGATGTGAGAAGGCTCAGGCAAAGGGTCATGGCCCTTTGCTGGGTCTGAAGTCCTGGAAGCCCTGGGCAAGGATGTCTGGGGCAAAGAGGGGTGCATGCCTCCCTGAGGCAACCACAGCTGCTCTGCTTGTTTCTGTCTTATATTTAGACACATGCAACTCTTCTCTTGAAAGAAGGCTCCCACAGCCAAAAATTTTCTTGCAAATGCCACCTCACCTTACAGATAAGGAAAGAGAGGGTCAGAGAGCTGAAGAGGCTTGCTGGGGAACTCGGCGGGCGGGGCAGGGCCAGTGCTGGGACTCGGGTCTCCCAGGTCACACGCCCACTGCTGTTGGGAACCGCCCTGACTGGTATCAGAAACTGAGACCCCCGCCTAGGCTAAGGCTAAGGGAACGCCCTTGGAACCGTGAGCCGGCAAGGAGACAAAAGCTTATCTTCCTGGCAGGAATGCTGTTTCTGCAACTGAACCCCAAAAAGCTTGGTCGGTTAGCCAAAGACGGGTAAGATTCCCCACGGGGGGAACAACCCAAGCCAGGCACGATCACTTTGGGAGGCCCCCCAAAAGAAGGACTTGGGGGGCTGCAGCAAAAGGGGGTGATGGACCCTCACTCCTCGGCTTTGACAAAGTCTGAGTTCTCAGCGTCCGGAAGAAAATCTCCTTATCTCTCGGTGGCTTTAGTTCCCGCGCTCCACCTAAGCCTGAAACAATGACAGGGTAATACAGCTCGGTACTGGGAAGTGCGGATTTCCCGGGGGTGATCAGGCCTAAGAAAGAACATGTAAATTACTGTGAAACCTTCTTTGTTCGAGAATGCTCTCAGTTGAATGAGGAGGGTCTTAGGAGGAAGCTAGTTTGTTCCTCAGCCTTACAGCTCTTTGACCCCCCAACTCAATAGACCGGCAGAGTTCTTTGTTTTCTATATTCCTTACTTCCCCTAATGAGTATTGTACGTTACCTGAGTTATTATGCAAAATGAGCCTAATAAAAGCAGGTATGGACGGTGGATCGGCGCGCTCCCCACTAGGGGGGGTGGCCATTCTGTCCCTACTTCCCCACAGAAACTGGTTTGTCTCTGTGCATGTGTTGTTATTTCTCGCGTATTGTCGAGCCATCCACAGTGTGCCATGGTCACTGCTAGCCGGTGACCCACGCGCAACACACTGCCTTCTGCTTTCCTCTTCATCAGATTGAACTGAGCAGCAGAGAGCAGGGTCGGGGTGGCGGTCAGAGGCTCCCGCTCCAGCACATAGGTCACCTCTGAGAAGCTAGCTTAACATCCCTGAGCCTCACCTTCCTCTTCTCTGCACAGTGTAAGAACACCTGACGGGCTGTTTCGTAGGTTTATCTCGAGGATCAAGCAGAACAGAATGTACCTAAAGGACACTGGAGAGTTTTACTGACAGCATCACAGGGGAAGACGGCAGCAAGCTGGGCTCGGCCCAGTCCCACTGAGTGGGTGTCTGAGCCGGGGCCCTGCTCCCTGCGCCATGAAGTTGCCCAGGTGATTTTTTATGTGAATCAAACCCTCCTTGTCTGGCTAACAGCAACCCACTTCTGCAGGATCATCTTCCCCAAACCCTGGGGGTCGGGGTGCCCTCCAGCCACTCCCCTTCATTACACATGGTTTGGGTATCTGGCCCCCTTCCAGGACTCTTTCTGTACCTCTTGACTCCTTTGCAGCTAGCATTCCAAATACAACATCAATTCTTCCCATCCAATGTACCAGCGTGAGAAGGCAGAACTGAAGCAGAGGCTGCGCTTCTGCTGTTTGGCGGCTACAAATGGCAGCTTCCTGACCTGGAGGTGGCACCAGTGCCTCCTCTGGAGCTGGGGGCTGGTGCAGCCCCCGTGGTAGCCTGGCTCTGCAGCATGGCATTGGGATCATTCCCGGCTATTTCTTCAGACTTCCCAGTGATTCTACGATCTATTGAGTATTCGTATGTAATAAACACCTTTCTTCTTAAATTAGCTCCAGGGGATGCTGAACCGTGACTGACGCACACGGTACTTTCACTGACAGCACCTACCACTATCATAACTGTACCCCACTGGGTAGACATGGGTGTACACAGAGCTTCTACTTCTCCTAAAGGCACCTGTGTCATCAGTTCACCAGGGTTTGACGTCTTGCCCTGGGGCCCTTGCATGCTACCTCCTGACCAGTTCTTACTTCTGATTGCCCTCATGAGCACCAACAATGTAGTTCAATCTGCAGCCCTGCAGATGGGGCAAGGAGGGCTCAGGCCCAGCCTGGGCCTTGCAGGAGACTCTTATTTCTACGAGAAGTCTCATCCTGACTCTTTAGGGTGTGAACCTGAGGCCTCTTTTTCTGACACAGGGATGAGCGGACATGTATGTTTATTTACAGATTAGTCCCTAGAGAGGATGGTAAGAGATGGTTAGTGAGCTGACGCTTCATGGCAGCTTCAAGGATGGCCAAGCCCTCAAGTTCATCTTCTAAATGACAGAATTCTTCCAAACCCCAGCTCAGCTGCCCAGAGGCACGAAAGTGGCATTCTGCGACCCCCTGTCTCTGTGGACTTGTCAGCCACAGGGCCACATCCTTACGGCCGCTCCCAGCACTGAGTAGAAGGCCTACTGGCAGCCTGAGCCTCCTCTTTCTTATCTATTTGGCTGTCATCTGGCCCCTCTGAGTGTTTCCTAAAGTAGCCACAATACAGTTTGGGGTGAGGAGCAAACTTTCATCTTGCTGTCAAGGTTCCCCATTCCCTGAACTCCAAGTGGGCCGTGGCCCTGGGCTCCTCAGCCTTCAGGGAGATGAAGCAGGGGAAAGGACCCCCTCAGGGAAGCTGCTTCCAGCTGGGCCCACCACTCCCAGGGTGGCTGCTTTGGGAAACCCAAGGGCATCTGGAAAAA